CTTTAAAATGGGTGAACATTTCATCCCCTCAAATGAGGCGTGCGATCATCGAACCGTAATTGGTGGAGTTCACGATAGTAGTAGAACTCGAAACTCTGACCACCTTCACCCAAACACTTAAAACTTGAAATCGAACCATTGAACCTAAAAGCATGTCTCGATTCAATAATTTAGTTGTACTAGACCCTGGCAGAATTCTCCGTCATTATCTTTCTATCTTTTCTCTTATCTACTCAAAAGGATCAATCAAATATTTGAACTTGGCCACTTATTTTTCGAAAACCTACCTTCCTTTGCCGTTTCAAAGTAGGAGTATAAGCAATTAATAATACGTTTGGGACTTTTGCCTAAGAGAATCTTGAACTTGCTTGGTCCTAGCTTTGGACACGTTGCCTAAGAGAAGCTGTGAACCGTCGTTGGTCTTTCCTGGCTGACGAACATATTGGCCCATGCCTTTGGATTGGACGACATGGAAATCCGACAACCCCAAATGGGATTCCAGGAAAACTCGGCACCTCATGTCAAGTGGTGTTCTTCGATTTGTCTGGCACCAAACAAAGTAAAGCCTCCAATATATGGCACATCATCTGAAACACTCGAGTACCATTCCTTTTCCATGTTTTTCTACTGTGCTTTTTATTATTATTTTGTTATCAATGAGGTATTTTCTTCAATTACTAAGTGTATATCCAATCAAAATCTATTTAATTTAATTATTAGACAATGATAAAGAATTATTTTTTTAATAAAAATATTTAAATTATAGATATTAGTAATTATTAATTCTTGTATATCAATACTAATTTATTTATTTATTATTTTAAAATAATAGTTAAACTAAATATAATTTAAAATTTTCTCTTTTAAAATTTAAGAAGCAAATTAGTCATATTAAAATAAATAAATTCTTACTTAAACTCAAGTTGAGTCAAGTTCATTTCAAATTTTTTTATTTTAGTTGCATAATGATAAATAATCATCTCTTATTATTTATCTTATTTTATCTACATGTTATATTATTTGAATTTAAAATTTTTTATTTTTAATGAAAAAAATGATTATTAAATTATTTAAATTATTGATAATACATCTCAAATTTAAATCAAGTAGTTCACAAATATTTCGATTTCATTGGCCAATCGATCAAAATGGATGGATTAGCAAGGAATTTCCCATGATATATATAAAAATCAAATTTCTATCAGCAGAGTACTGAACAATAAACCACTTGTTTATCGTCAGTCCAACCCTTAGCGTCCTTGTTTGACTGATAAAGAAGTTTTGGTCAATAATAGCTGCGTAGTGTAGATTCCAAGCAGTGAACCAACAAGAGGCGGCGGCTACTACAATCCAATCTTTGATGGCTGAGGTTATGGCACCATCCTTTTTGTTCAGGCCACTGGTCGTGTTTATAGGTTATTAACTTTATCATGTAATTTTATTAATTTAATATTTTTTAAAATAATTAATTTTAATATTTAAAAATATTTATTTATAAAATAAATTTAATTTATTAAATAATAAATATTAATTATTTTTAATAATTAAATTAAAATAAAAAAATTAACAGCTTTAATAATTTTAACAAAAATGATAATAATCACACCTATTCGATATCTTTGATAGGTTAATTTCTGTTTTTAAATTTATATTGGCCATGACTCCATGTAATTGATTAATCAAAACCCACCTCTGCTCTGCTATAGTAGTCTTGTATTTTGTAGGTCAAATCACAGTCATCACCATCCATCCGTAATTCTGTATGTATATGTAAGTATGTACATTGTATTTGGTATTAGGGACAAATACGATTTTGTTTGCATTTTGGTACGAGGGACAAATACGATTTTGTTTTTGCTTCCTCAATTGTTCTCTTTTTCTTGTTCTAGTCATTAAAACCCGAATTATAAAATTCCAAATCTTTCATTATCTTAATATTTTAACCCTTACAAGCTCTTCAATTTTATTGCCAATTGTTCTTCTGTATTATTGCTGTTGAGGGACCATAAGGTTAGGCCCTTAATTTGTCACTAAGCCAATTTCAGTAAATCCAGGGGCCTTACATTCAAAGCCCAATATACTTGGAACCCAAGGCCAGAACAACAGTTGTTTATCCTCAACTAAAAGGACCTGAACTTTGAATTTATTTATTTTTCTTATTTGATTTAGTACGAGGGATGTTAAAATAAAGTCTTCCAATGTTATATCTACCTGACAGTGATTATGATACCTTCTTTTTATTCATGAGATACGATATTTAATCTATATTTACTCATTTGATCTTTCATCAAGAATAAAAACATTTAGACAGATAAAGAATGTCATAAATGTTTTGTCCGCTTCATTTCAATATGATGAAAACAACAAACATTTCCAAAACTGGATCTCCATGTAAGAGCAGCAGAAACTTTTCAAAGTTTTAAAATGACAAGGAAATGCAACCACAGATACCAAACAGATCACAGCTCATTTCTCGTTGGAATGAATTGCTATCAACAGCCTCTCATGATTTGGAGACTTCAATTCAACAAGAATAAACAAATGAAATCTAACTCATGATGGGGATATTACAGGGTTTTGAGCATGTGGTATGTCTAAGTCATATAGGCCCTCTACAGGTACACCTTGTTGGGCTTGTTTGGATACAAAATTTGCTATCATTTCCACCTCTCTTTTTTTTGAATTTTTTTGAATTTTTTTTATTTTTTAAATGCTGTTTAATAATAATGAAAAAGGAAAATCCTCCACTTTCTGTCAACTGTATCCAAATGGATTATTCTTAGATACCGCGGTGTATGGTAATCCACCATAGAAAAAGAGATAAAGAAGGAATGGTATGAAGAAGCTTTTTGGGGCTTAATTAAAAGAATTTAAGAGAAGCAGTAGAGTTTAGGGGAGGAAACCTAGGGCCGTATGTGACCTAACTATAGTTTTTGTAGAAGTGTCGTTTGAATAGTGTTTTTATTGTGGTTATTAATGAGGATTTCTTTTTAAGAGAAAGAGGGAAAAAAAAGAAAGAAAAAGAAGTGTGAATCATGAATCTACATAAAATATAATCATGAAAAATTTTAAAATTAATAAAAATGATTAAATTCAAAAGATTAATAGGCAAAACTATATTCTAAATACAGGTTTTTAACCATTTAAAAGTTAAAAATAACTTTTATAACAGTTAAAAGCATTTTTTAATAAATTATATATGATTCGATTTCAGTTTTTAAAATAGAAAAACTCTTTTTAGAAAATGAGTCAAACAAACACTAAGCACATATATGGGATTTGTTTGTGTGGTCTCTAACTCTAATGGACCTATAAGCAGCAAAAGGGATTGGATTGAAAATAGAATAAAGTAGGCAAAGTGCTTTCCTTTGCAACTTGCAGAAAGGTGCTTCTTTTTGAAAAGAAATAAAGTGGGCAGTTTTGTCATTAACCAGGGAGGAAAAGGAAAAGTACTGTACTTTTTATGTATTGGTCCATGATGTGCCTTAATTTGTTTGTGTAGTGGGTAGGACCAAAAATAATGTATGCAAGCAATATGGTGGGCACCGGGCTTTTCATGAACCTCTTGATTGGGTACCAATACTTTGTAATACCAGCAAGAACTACAATAGAATGGAGCCACATGAAATATAAGAAACAGAAAATTTCACAATCATACAAAAAAAGTTGTGGGGTTGCATGTTTTGAACAGTATCCTACCTAAATGGCTAAACAAAAAATTTTACCTAATGGGGTTTCAAAATTTCATGGTTTTCATTGAGATCCTCTGCAATCAATCATCAGAGATTTGAACTAACCCACCTTGAGCATTAGGGGAAGTAGTTTGTCATTTTCACCAAGAAAAGCATAAGTTAATATGGCTTTACATTTCTGTTTTTTGGTGTTTGGTATTGGTAGAGGAGCACCTATCATGCACCAGCACTAGTATTTATGGCTTGAAATTACAATATTGGTTAATGGTCATGTCATGATTCCCCATTGCACTTGACCAGAGTGAAGAAGATTCTTGCAATTTGAGTGCTTTCATCAAAGGCCATGATACTGTTTTTCATTTTCTCTCTACCCATTTGTGAGAATCTTTCCTGAATGAAAGGAACAGGAAAGTCAAGGAGGAAGTAGTTCAAGAAAGTCATATATGCTCCCTCCCTAAATCAAAATTCTATTCTCACTACATCAGAAGAAAGATGCCCAAATTTAAGAGGCTTCCAAATGTTTTCTTTGATCAGATGACTATAGACAAGCATGATGAGTGAATATCATATTTCCAAGGTTCCCATGTGACATCAAAAAGGGGGTTGAATTGAAGCATCAGAATTTTCAGATGCATTTGACAAAATGAAAGACAAATTTTCTTTTAGTCCGGACTGACATTTTAAAAAAAATAATAATAATTGATACTATCCTCTTTTGCTCTTTGAGCCTGGCATAAAACAAGTGAACAAAGATAAAAGAATGAGATGCTTAAACTGGTGGCTCTTGTTTCTGGGTTCAGTCAAGATTCAAAATGCCCACATCATCAACTAGAATGCCAACAAATTTCACAAAATGGGAAATTCTATTAAAACAAACATCAGTTTGTGAACTTAAAAGAGCATCAGCAGAAGCAGTCATAACACCTTTTCTGTAAGAACTTAAAGAATGTATTGTGACAGGGATTAAGTTACAGATGGCTTATTGTCCAGAACAACTGCTCCCACTCATGGTCATGGTTATACAAATCTATGCAAATTAGAAGATATTTCCACGTGTGAACCATACAAGGTAATGGGATATTCCCTAACTATGATAGATTATATTCTTAATACCGCCCTCATCAATGGACCAAAAAAAAGAAAGCATCAGAAAACATCACTTATCTCCATGGAATACCTTTTTCCTGTCACTATCATCTTCACTTCTGCGTTACGACTAACTTTAATCATAACAGTATTAAGCAATACTTAAAATTCTTCACCACTACAATTCATAGATAACAGTAGCAACATGGAGCCTTACCCCAGAAGATTCTCCTGGTTCTATTTGATTCATATTGGGGTTCAAAGCTGCATAACAAATTCAAGCAACTCAATCTGAATTGCCAGAATCTGTTATCAAGTCTCAATCCTTTGTACTCTAGTTCACTTGATAGACAACAATGATCTTCATGATCACACAACTAAACGTTTCAACCTTCATGTAAATAAGCTTCTTTTATGGCTCAATGATCCAGAATTAGAATAATAAATCACAAAGCAAACTAACTAAATCTCTTTGTAGAGTTTAGTAACTGTGGACAAATTTATGTTCTCAACAACATATTCACAAATGAGACGGATAGAGAAATATGAGATCGATGATATGATTCATCACATTAACATTTTTGAGGACTCTCTTCACTTCATCTCTAATTTACTGGTGTTGCATAGACTGCATCTGGAGAAAAGGGCTGTAAGACACAAATTGTGATCCGGGAAGAGTTACTCCAAGCAGATCTTGTTCTTCAAGCTTAGGCCCATATGAAGAAATCCCACAGAGAGGTGCCATGAATGTACCACCATTTGTTGGGTTGAAGACCATGCCTACCCCTTTATAAGATTGTTTCCAGTCAAGCTCTTTGCCTACTCCAGCCGCCACTTTTGGTTGCTGCTGGGGCTTCATGGTGGAAGCAGCATGATTTGGGGATGTAGGGCTATTGTTTTCAGGTGGAGAAATGGAGTCTGGGACATTGACAGTTGTGATATCATGGATACTTGATCTCCTTTTATCCTTCCCTCCAGTGAGCTGCCTGATGAAGTATTTCTGAGCATGACTAGCTACCTGAGTTGGTGTCCTTGTTGTCACAAAATTGCGAGAGATATTTCTCCAATCCCCCTTCCCATACTTTTTAAGACCCATTAGAAATTGCCTGACATCAATAACCCATCATGAGCTACACAAGAATACTACACTAAGCCATTAAAAATAAAGACTAGACAGGCTAAAAGGTACTTTCATGGACTAAACATGCAAAATTCATCTACCAGAACATTGTCAAAATTCAAACAATTGCAAGGATCTATCAGGAAACCAAAGCATCTATAACCATTTTCTTTCAGTCAACAACAGAAATCAAAGTGTTCAAGCTACTCAATTTAACAAAAAAGAAACATAAACTTAACAAGAAGTTCAACTATAGGAAATGAAAATCCAGTGTGTAAAAACAACAATAATTGATCACTAAATTCTTGCTTATCCAATTAGAATTCAATGATTTCCAAAATTCTAGAAGAAACGAATCCACATAATCCCCACGAAACAATTAGAATTCATTATTCAAAGGAGAGCAATTACCTGTGTTCTTCTTCAGTCCATGGCACTCCTTTCTTCCTTTCGTGATCTGGATGCCGGTTCCCTGTGCCCCTCTTCCCACAAGCACTGTAATATTGTCTTGATCCATCAAAGCCCTGGCTGTTATTAACCCACTCCAATGTAAAAGAATCACTACAATACCGATGAATTGGAAATAACCCCGCCTCTATGTCATCAATATCCTCTTCCAATTCCTTGTACTGTTTGATTACGTCGCCTACTGTCTTGCCAGGGATCATGGCTGCCACCTTGAACCATCGATCCGGAGTGGGCTTGTCAAATATAGCCAGAGCATTCTCAAACTGCTTGTTCTCTTCAGGAGTCCATTTTGTCCCCTTGCCTTCTTGATACAACCAGCACGAGTTCTGAAAATAAGAGGCAGGAGGGAGAATATCGATTCCCTGATTCATCATTTCCAGTTACAGAACCTTGTAGAAATGAAACAAAATAGTAGCATGCCAAAGATGATTTGCCCCTTTAGAGACACACAAACTTGCTTTCTCTCTCTTTGATTGTTCAAAGAGAGAGAAAACCCAGATAGGAAATGCAGAGAAGGCTGAGGTTTTTATTAACAAAGAAGCATCAAATCATGAAGCATTTAAATGGAATCTGAGTAGCCTTTTTGACACGAGCACAGATTGAGGAATCTAGAAAAGGCCTAACTTTTCCAACACCCAAGGAAAATTCGAGAAACAATGGCAAAAAGCAGATCTTGGTTTCTCAATGATAAACCCTAGACCTCATACCAGATCCCAAATCACCCCAAAAAGAAAACAATCAAAACAAAAAACCCAATACCCACAATACAATTCCAAACAAAAAACACAACTGTACAGCAAAGTCCAAGACTTGGAGCTCAGAAAGCAAACCCCAAGGAAAGTCAAGAAGAACTAAAACCCATTAACAGAGGAGAGAAAACAGAGAAATTTGAGAGAATTGAAGTGGTAGGGGTCCTAAAAATGCAAGCTTTTCTAGCTTTTAAGCATTCACTGTAGAGGTAAAGCAAAAGAAGAGAGCAACAAAAGAGTTGGTGGAGGGAAGTAAAAGAGCAGCACCTCTTGGTTGTGTACTACTCACATCGGAGAGGGGTCTATAGAACAGAGATGAATTGGCAGAGAGAGAAAAGAGAAAAGAAAGGGGGCCAAACGTGGTTAGTTGTGATTGGTGGAAACAGAGTTTGGGGGCGCTACGGCCAAGGAAAAGTTCCTAGAATATATGTGCAAACAAAAATGGCCAATCAGGGGGAGAGATGGTGGTAAAAAAACAAAGGGAGAGATGAAAGTGATAATTTGCAACTAAGTACATAGGAATAGAGATTGGAGGTGGGTGTGGGTCTTTTCGGGAATTTACTAACCTTAGCTATGTTGACATTTAGCTGTAGCACGTGGGATGTTTGTGCTAGTAATAGGAGTAGTAATTAATTAGGCAAATTAAGTGCTTAACTTCAATTGAGTATTTCTTTCCAAAAACAGCTTCACTTTTGCATTTTTATGAATAATTTTTTTGAGTGGATAAACAATTGTTTTATTTTGTTTTTAAATTTTTTTAAATTTTAATTTTACCTAGAAGAAAAATTAACTTAATATATACTATATTGGTATTTAAAATTTTCGTATAAAATAAAATATAGTAATTACATTGTATATAAAAAAAATTTTAATTTTCATTCATATTATTTGTTAAGTTTTTAAAATTAATATTTAAAAAATTTAAAGGTCAAAATAATATAACTAAAATTAAATAAAAGAAATTATTTATTTTGATACCCAACTATTCAATTTTAATGGTTTTAATTT